GAGAAACCAGAAGAAGTCACTGAGAAGGCACAACAACAAATCATGGCACATACGGTAACTACTTAGCTTGAGTTGTTTTTTGTTTTGATCATTGTAAGTATTATTGTTATTCTGAATTCAATTGTGGGGTTTGGGAGGTTGTTGTCGTGTTATAGAAAAGTGGATTGAAAAGTGGAGAAAAGATGAATTCAAAAACTCAGAAAAGTGAGTTATTGAGGGAGTTTGACATGGTAATTTTGGTTGTTCAAGCTTGAGAAAATGAGTGTAATAGAGTCTGTATTTATAGGAGAAGTAAATGGAATCAATAGGAGGGGTGAATGATGTAATTTCAATCGAATTCATGCACACCCGTGTTCACGAGCAAAGTGTGCTTACATGTGCATCAAAACTCATCTAAATGATGCGTTTTGTCACTCTAAATAATTCAAATATCTTTTCTGATCATGTTTAAGTGAAAATCACGTGGTAATTTGGTGATTAAATTCACATTATGGAAATTGCAATGTGACTGCAAGTGAAACTTCAGTTCTAAGGTACCAACTTTGAATCCATGGTGTTCACAACTCAAGAGGTCTTGGGGCATAATTCTTGAAGCATTTGAAAGATAAGGTCACAATATCTACAATGTGAAAAGAGAGAGATAATTTGGATTCTTGAGATAGAAGTTGTGTTTGGTCAAAATCTTAAAAAATGCGCTCGCTTTGTACTTAGAAAAATTCTAAGTTTTTCTCAAAAATGTCATATAATGTTTTGACTCAAAACAAGGTCTTCCCTCAAAATTGAGCTTTGATCATTGATGTCATCTTGAAGTGGACTCCTTAAAGAGTATTGTGAAAATTGTTTCACTCAAAAATTTCAAATATTGAACAAGTTATGATCCTTTGAATTTGTTGGAAATCCATGAGGCGACCTATAATCTTTTAAGTTTTTTAGGCATCTTCTAACCATTTTCAAGCTTTGCACATAAAATAAAAGTTGAATTTCACATTCTTAAGATAAATATGGAAAAAGAATGGGATCAAGAAGATAAAAATTGACCAAGTTATGATCCCTTGAAGTCACATGAGGGAATTTGATGGCCTATCTAGATGACTTTTAATCTTACTCCGTCATTAGGAATCTTCCTCACAAAATTTGCTTTAAAATTTTGAAGTGATTGGTTGACAACCATTTAAAGAGAAGCATATATTTGGAATCACTCAAAAATCTCAAAATAAGAACAAGATATAGCTCTTAGAGTTTCAAAACCCTAGCTCATAGAGCACCAAAATAACTTAGAAACCCCTTTCAATTTTGACAATCTTTATTGCACAATCACTTTTTCCATGTTAATAGAATTTGTTGTGTATGATAATAAGAACCCATAGCAATAATAATCACCTCCAAATGTTTAAAATTGAAAAGGTTAAGTACTAGTTATCAAGTTATCAAGAATTTGTCCAAATAGGTCAAACGTCTTCAATCAATTCTTGCATCTTTTGAATTCCTTTGACAAATTGAGGCATGATGAATCATAGTAGACCTTGTAATGATATTAATTTATATAAATATAAATGATGAAGCTTGAATATCAATGAAGCTTTGTTGAATAAGGCATGGAAATAAACTCATGAACCTATGGATCAACCTGATGAAATGTGTTGTGCCCTCACCTATAGTATCATCATTTAGAGAAAACATTCATTGTAATTGTTAGTTAAAAGTTAATCAACATAAGACATATATAATCACCATATACAAATCAAAGTACTTGGCGATCCCTCATGAGCAAACCAAGAGATAGGGAGAAGAACTAAACCCAAGTGTAATCTTGATATGATTGAGTTGATATGAGATGATAGAGGAATCTTAGGGGCAAAATTTGGGGTATAACAAAGTGATATTAGTTTTATTATTATTATTATTATTATTATTATTATTATTATTATTATTATTATTATTATTACTATTATTATAGATAAATAGTTATTTATAATATTAGTGATTAATTAAATAATTAAAATTAGGAAGGGAATTATGGGATTATTGATTTAGGGGTCTAATTTGTGTTATTAAAAAAATAAGAAGTGAGAACACGAGGAATAAAGATCATATCTCCTAATCGATTGTAGAAGTGAGAAGCAGGGAGAAGGGAAAGCTAGGGCTAAAGGGAATAATCCATTGAAGAAGAACAGAGAACTCAAAAACTAAGGTAAGGGTGAGATTCTAACTCTATAAGGGTTTATATGATGGTGGGTATTGGTAGAGTTAGGTATTGTAATTGTATTTTCATCTTTATATGGATTGTGTGTTTGGTGTGAATTGTAATTACGATGATTGATGATGATGATTTGGTGTGAAAAATTGAGTTTGATGATGTAAATTGATCCTAAATGATGAAGATGAATTGTGAATGTTTGGTAGAATAATTGTCTCTATTTGGTGTTGAAAATTGGGGATTTTGGGTGTTTTGAGAAGAGGAATCGCAACCCGTTACACTGCAATTTTTTTGAAAAATAGAGCAGGCTAACCGGTTACCACCAGGAGGGAAACCCGTTACTGCATGGAAAAATTGATTATGGGAAAAAATTTCTAAAGGGTAACTGGTTACCATAAGTGGGTAACCAGGTAGCCAAAGATTTGACAGAATGGGTGTTTTTGTGAAAATAGCAATAACCGGTTACCACCTGGGGACAACCAGTTACTGCGAGAATTTTTGAAAATACAGAGTTACTGTTTTGGAGTAACTGGTTACCATTGGAGGGTAACCGAATACTGAAATAACCGGCTGAGCAATCAACTGATAATGAAATCAATGAAGTCGCTATCAAACATTTTTTATCCCACAGGGAGGGAAAAGTAAACATCGAGTAAACCTGAAAAGGGTGAAATCAAGGTCGAACAATCGAAAGATATGGTTAAGGGAGTCTGTTACGCGACGGGAAGGTATTAGAACCCCACATGCCCGCAATACTCTATGATATCCACTCATGTTGTTCTAATCAAATGGTGTGTTTCAAATCTAAGCTTAAGAGCTAAAAGAGAATGTAAAGAGAGAATGCATGCAAAAGAAAAGAGAAAATAATATAGGGAAAATAAAGTTGTGCTCGTTCGGGCCCTACCCCAATGCCTACATATCCCTTTTAAGGAATCAGAGCAGCCGTAGTTAGGCTCACATGCTTTGATTTGTTGTATGTTTTTTAATGAACGATATTAATTTCGCATTCTGACGCAACTCGACTTTTGGAGACTCACGCGTCAACACAAAAGTGAATTAACATGTTTTTTTGAAAGTTTGAAAGAAAGGCCTGAAGGCAGAAAAAGTTTGTATTTGTTGATATCTTTTACCTTAAAGAAGGATTTGAAAGTTGTTAGATGTTTTATGAATTTTTCAAGAAAAGAGTTTTAGTCTTAATGCAAGGATGCAAAGCAAAGAAAAATATATAAGGGAGACTAACCTAAATCCATCCCTAATGTTATCATACAATAATTAATACTAAGATTGAGGATGAAAGGGAAATATCCAACCTAGGTTAGCATGCATGGATACCTATCCTAATGTCTAGCTTGAAAGCTACTCTAATCGAGCGATCCTAAGGGAAGCATGGTATAACAAATAAATAAGCAAACAAGTGCTTTGGAAAAAGCACACAAACATGAGTAACACATACTGGCTCAAAGGGATGGGGGAAATAAGAGAAATGCTTTAGCTAAGGGGAGAAGATCACCCGAAGCAAACAAGCAGGAGACAAATGAAATAAAAAAAGAAAAGAAATGCTTTAGCTAAGGGGAGCGGATCACCTGAAGAAAACAAGTGGGTAGGGAAGTATCAACAATGGTCATTGCGAAATCATGACAAAGTGTGGGGGTTGGTTGCAAAACCTTCTCCACATGACCGACTCGATACACATGATCTACACGACTCCGAAGCATCAGTGCATAACGCGAGCTAGGGATGACACAAACTAGAATGTCCCGGGGTCGATTACAGACCATTTCCGCTCGCCTCCTTTTGAGGACTTATCATCTGTAATATATGCGGGCACAAATGTAAACACACGTGCATAATACCTACTTCAAAGGTAGAATTTTAAATAAACACAGATAGCATACATAAAGTGATTCATGCTACAGGACTTTAAATAACGACTTCAAGTGCACACTCTTTATTTCCTACTTCTCATGATATCTAGAAAGCATTAAAGTTCCTACTTCTCATGATATCTAGAAAACAATAAACTTCCTACTTCTCATGATATCTATAAAACAATAAAGTGCTGAAATGAGATAAACAAGAGAAAATACAAAACAATTATCAGTCCATAGCAAAGTGTATCAAAGCAAGAAACTCGACGATATTCGTGAAAGCTTCACCAATCAAAGAAAAAAGTCAGAAATCAAATGCTCGAAATTAGTGTCAAAGCATCATCGATGTGAAAATAAATCAAAATCGAAATCTCAAGCATATCAACATAACACACAATAAACCTGCATAAGACTCAAATATCAACAAGCAAAGGTGAATTACAAAATCTCAAGTAATCAGATAATCGGGATTTAATACCTAAAATCAAATAAAAAAACTTGACAAATTTTTATTGATTTTATAATTTTTATCATGTGGAAAAAAGTTCAAAAACAAATCTAAACAATTCACAAAATTTTTAAAAGAAATTGAAAATAGTATATGCCTAGGGGGTGCAAGTCAGCGAACAGGGGTGATGAAGTAAACTACCCAAAAATCTAGGCCCAAGCATTAAGATCCAAAAATAGCTCTTTTTTTTGTAAAATCAGGTAAGTTAATTGTTACAAAAACACAGATATTGGACCAAGGCCCAACAGATTTAATGCTCAGTCCACTAATTTCTTATCATCCCCTTTTTTTGATTATTTTTATGAAAAAAACAAAAATGAATTAAAAAGCAAAAAAAAAAATAGAGAGAGACGGTGTTGTTTGGGATAAAGGATAGGGTTACAAATTGTGCCGCTTGAGCTCTTACAAGACTCTTTCTTCTCTCCTTATGATTGGCACCGAGGTTTCTTTTTCAACCCCCACACGGCTCCGCGGTCGGCCACCTCCGATCTCTAATACTCTTCTTGATTCAAACTTTCCCTCTCTGTTCAATTCAACATCCGCTTCAACCTTCATTTTCCACCATGTTCGTGCCGCTATTGTCTTCTCCGATCTTGCACCGTTCACCTCCTCTTCTTCGATTTTGAACAAAAACGGCGCTACCTTCACTCACTTATCCGCCTCTCCGAGCCACACGCCATCGTACATCGTCCGTTCACGGCTTCGCCATTCTTCGTCATTGTTGAACTCAACCTTCAATTCGATTCAACTCCTCATCAATCTCTGTTCAACATCAACTACTGCTAAACAACACAGAGAACACGAATTGCAAACTCAAACGAGTTTGCAGTTGGATCTCTTCACTTCAATCCACACATACGATGCAAAAAAGAGGAAATTAATCGAAGATTAGAGGAAATCACGACTTACCTACCGGCGAGAGGTCTGGTACTCAACGGTGTCGACGTCGCAAGAAATCCAGAGAATCCTCATTTTCCAGGTACAGAGCTTATTCTCTTTCTCCAGTTTACACGTCTTCTTCCGATTTTCTTCTTCAACTGTGTTATGAGTTTGTGTTGTTCGTTGATTCTGTTACGAATTGATGAAGCGCTTTCGTTGTTTGAAATTTAGAGTAATGAAGCAATTGTGATGATGATGTGAAGAGAAGCGTTGACGAAGATCAGAGGAATCGAGACAGTGATGATATTGTTGAACGATGAAGATTATGCAGTAGTTTGAAGAAGATGAAGAACCGGTGAAATTCTTGATTCACGGATGAAGATGATGATGAAGGTTTGTACAGAGAATTCAGATGAAGATTGAAAGAGAGAAGTGAGAGAATTTTCAGGTATTTTTGGTGGTGATTCTTCTGTAGTTGAAGAATGAATCTCGATTGAAGATGAATTCTGTTATATATCTAGTAGAGTTAGTTACAGAAGATTGAATCAGGGCCTTCAGATGAAACAGTTGGTTACAAAGATCAATGGTGGGGATTGATTCTGATTTTTTTTTGAAATTATGTTATAACTCTGTTAGAGCCTTTTCTCACTCAATAGTATTTTCCTCCTTTGTGAATTTCAACGGTCTTTACCCTCTTTTCTGATTTTTCTCACAATTTCTAAATTTATGATTTATATCATCTTTGTTTTCACGGTTTTCTTTCTAATTGGATTAAGTTTTTTCCTGAATTCCCATGGTTTCTGAAGCCTTTTCATGAACAAAACTGGTTTGTATTAGTTGTAACATTGACTGGATTGGTTAGTCATTTGTGAATGTGCATGCTGGTTGGATTGTTACAGCAGAAGTTTATTTTGTACTTTTATGTGATTAACTGGTTTATTGCATTTTTTTGTGGAAACTGGTATGTGCAGGGCATTTTCTAGATGAATTGGTTTGGGAGTTTTACAAATCTGGTTCAAGTTGTACGATACATAGGAAGCTTGGAGCAAGACTTGGAATAGGGAGGAAGAACAACTCAACAAAGTCATGGAGATTATTTGAAACAAAGAAATTGTGATGGAATTTAGAATTAGAACAATAGGCTCATCATGTATTATTTTTTGTACTTTTTCTTGTATGCTTATGTATATAGATTTGGAAATTGAAGTTCAGCATGGAGTATTATTTTTAGGAAACTTTTGTGACTTTTCAATGATGTAATGAGTTTAATCAACTTGGAAACATGGTTGGCATTTTGCACTTGTTATTTTGGAATGAATCACAAATGAAGTTGATGAAAATGGATTGAAACTTAAATGATATTTGAACTTAGAATTTTGAACTTGGACTTGTGAAATATGGTCGAATGATGATGATGATGAGTGATACTTGAATGAACACAATGCTTAAGAAAAACTCATGCACAACCTTCCACTTTTGCAAGTAAATGTGATCTGTTTAAACACATTAGGCAACTTTAATGAATGCTAACCAATAAATGCATCCGAATCAATCTTCCAATTCAATCTCAATTCCAAGCAAACTTGTATTGCAAACAGCAAGTAATAATGATGAGAACAAAAGTTGCCTTGATCAAGAATAAACTCACAAATTCATATCTTGTGCCATGAATCATTCTTCACAATTTAATCCTCAATCCTTAACGACCAGTTATCTCAGCCCAAAATTAATGTCATGAGGAAAGTCTTAAGGATGGATTATAAGGCTTGAAACATGGAAGCATATCCTTGATATGAAATCTTAGTCGCACAAGTGAAAACCCCACTCTTTAACCTTGGAAAGGAAAACCTGGCAATTTGATGTTGAGAAGCAGAAAATGGCATTATAGCTTGAAGAATAACTAGAGGAATCATGCTTTATTGAACGTATAAACCTCAGTCACTGAAAACCCTAACTCACACAACTAATGAACTTTGAACCTCAGGCGCTTTATTGAATAAAAATGTAAGCTATGTTAGTGACCTAATGGAATATATGCAGATGAATGTAAAAACCTAAGCCAGATAAAAGTATCGATTATGAGGGTAAATTTTGGGGTGCAACAGTTACCATTGAGACATAATGGTCGATTTTCTGAATTTTTTTTAAAACTCATAACTTTTTACTCAGGTGTCTGTTTGACGGGCCGTTCGAACCTATGAAAAGATAAAAATATGAGGATATGAGGATATGACGGGCCGTTCATAACTTTTTACTCATAACTTTTTACTCAGGTGTTTGTTTTATCTCGACATTGTTGTGATTATGAAGTTGCGAATATGAGGATGAATGTGAAGAGATTTCATGATGTATTGATGTGTAATGATATATGAACGACGATGTGTGATTAGCGAGTTGTATTGGTTTATTTTGTTGATGTGTGATGTGTCATTGCATAAGTTATTGTAGCATAGTAGTGTTGCATGCATGTTCATAAGCGACGATGTGGCCGTAATGGCAAGTGACAGTGTAGCCGTAATGGCAAGTGACAGTGTATCCTTAATGGCAAGTGACAGTGTAGCCCAAATGACATAGAGACGTTGTTTTGGTATGACATGCATATAGTTGTTGAAGTCGGTCTCATTGCATTATGACGTTGTTGTTGAGTAAGATGTGATATGTTGTTTGTTGGGTGTGATTGTTGAAATTGTATCGTGTGTTAATGTTGATACATAGAGTATTAATTTATGATTATGAACGCTAAAATTTATCTACTCATTATCATATACTCATTTATATTGTTATGATATCTCATCTCTTACTGTTTGCATGTTGCCTCCACGTGAGTAACACACAGGTGACGAAGATTACAGTTGCTTGAGGTATGAAGATGCACCTCGTAGTGCATAGATTGAGTCGAGTCTTTCTCTGATACGTAACACCGGGGATGAACACTTGTGTGCTTATGTGATAGTTGTTGATTTTGGAATATTATAAGAACTTTATAATTTCCCTTTCATGTGAAGAGACATTGCCTATGTTTTGTTGGAATAGATTATTAAACTATAATCGAATTTGTTTTCGTTGAATGAATAAAGTGAAGTGGAATGATGATATGCCGTCGGTTCATCCGAGTTTTATGTGTTATGTATCTATTTAGTAAATGTTGAGCAATTTTTGAGATGATGAAATGTGACATCCTATTTTGATGTTGTTTGGAATTTTTAAATTACTCTGATTTTATAGTAATTATTCGATAGGGAAAATAAGGTGTTACAAGGAGTAATAGATCTTTTAGGAAATTCTAGCAACCTTAGAGAGTTCAGAGATATCTGAGCTCTCAAGCATCAGAACACGTCTTCTGGTTACCCTTGTTTTCTTGGGAGCAACACAGTTTTCTTTAGTCTTGGATTCTTCAGCCAATTCTCTTTTTCTCTTTGGAGTGGGAGCAATATGGGGCTTATAATTGATAACTGATGATTGATAAAGCAGAAAGTTTGGGAATCCTATCACCAGAATTATTCTCTCCTTTAAATATGATGTACTTGGTTCCTCATGATCCTGTATTTCTACTCCATTTTTCAGACTAAGATGTATTAAGCTAACTCCATTTATGGAGGCTTTGGTGATCACATTTGAATCATGAGTGTTCGGAGAGTAAATAAGATGACTTGTAAGAAGAATGTATGAAATAAGTCTTCCAAAAGGAATTTTTATCTTCTTTTTGGATCCTCCATCCCTTGATTCAGTAACAGTGGGTTTCAGATGATTGAAGAGAATTGCTGGAAGGTTAGTTCTCTCAAAGGTTTGAATAGCATGCATAAGATACTCCAGGTCAGTATTGACATGATCAGGAGATTTTGTTGGACAACAGTGAGTGAAACTACCCATAAATATTCTAAACTAAACCCTTAATTTAGGAATAATAAATTTTTCCTTTTGTTCCTTAGCTCCATTCTGATAGATAATATTAACTAGACCAGATTACTTGTAGATATCTGTTGACATGTTAGTCAGAGTAAATCCTGATCTATCAAGACTATAGATAATGGTTATGTCTTCATCTGTAATGGAGATCTTCTTCCCGTGGACGCTTGAACACACATGTCCACTTACAGATACATACACATGTATCCAAAAGTCTTTAACTAGATCAGTGAAGACATGCCCATAGATACAATCAAAGTAGTTTGCCCAGTTCTGAAATCTAACACCATCATGTAGATCGAAATCGTTTGCAGTGCAATTTCTGAAATCCACATAAGCTTCTGCAAGGATGACCAAATCATTCACAGGGGTAGACTATAATACTTTGAGATGTTGCTCAGACGATGATAGATCCAGATTAGCGGTTACTTTCTGAGATGCCATTGAAGAGGAATATCAGATGCGAACTAAAAGAGTTTTTGAGAGTTTGGGGTTGAGAGGATTAAAAATTGGGGGAAAGAGAATGATAATGGGTGTGAAGTGACGTGAGTGGGTTTTAAGTCGCCTTTTGAAGTAATGAAAAAAAACTTTGAGTAGAGCAAGAATCTGGCACATAGTAAATTAAAAAGATTTTTCACTTATTCTCAAGTTCGTCTCACTTCTCAACGTATCACATCAATTGTCAGACATGGCTTAAAAAGGACACCTGTCTTATATTAAAATAAAAACCCTTTCAATTTTTGACAACACATTTAATTGTTATAAACTCTTTAGTTTCTAGAGGATAGACGTAATAAAATTTTCTTCCTTAAGTACTATTAATAGGAGTGAGCATCATTAAATAAAAAAGCCATACATTTCAGAGGATGATAATTATAAACATTTAAAAACTTACCTTGATGTAGTCATGCCATGAGTTTTTATTCAAAAGTTCTTTTATCATCAGAAGTATATTTAATCAGATCCCTCAAAATCAGTTCTTCAAAATGTGATGGACTTATTTGAGCCTTTTTTAGAGGAGTTTGAGCATTAGAAATTTCTCATTATGCATCTTCTGATTCCTTTACTTTTCGTACTTCTGTAACAGTTCTACTGCTTTCAGATTTTGAATTGGAATCTTCATATGGAAACATTATCTTATCAACTCCAGTTTTCTTGAGTACAGACGATAGAGAATATTAAGTGTGACTTATCCTTGAATTTTGCAAGCTGCATTCATGTCCATTGATATACTGTTCCTAAGTTTATGATTTTTCTTTATTAGATCATCTTCGAAACCCATGACATTTCCAAACTTAAGTTCTAGGCTTTGGAATATATGCCTTTTTCC